TTTGCCATGAGTCTTTGCAGCTAAGTTGATTATGCATAACTTCAAAACCGAAAGAAAGAGTATAATGGTACTTCGGGAATTTATTGTTGCTGCCAAATTTGATAGCAAAAAGTGGATGTTGGTATACTGCTCATTCAAAATTTATGTTTATTTGCCCAACAGGGTCTAAATGCTAATGAGTAACTATATTACTATTATCTTGCTTGGTGGAGTGATGTTATGGAAATATGCTCATTTCCTTCAAAAATTACCAAAAGAAGGTCTTCCTAGGATTGCCTTATCAAAGTACATGGTATAGTACAAAGAAATTACAATAATAATTCATGACATCCTATGGTGCAATAAAGGCTTATTCATTCCTTGGCTTGGGATGGAAAAGAAAAGCATGTAAAAGGGAGTCATGCAACTTTACCATCAGTATGTATGTTAAGTTGGACTTTGTGAGTTAGAAGATGGTGGTGCCCAACTTTGGAGGTAGGGCCTATGTTGTTAACATACTAACCTGGCTTCACACAGCAAAACTTTAACTTCCTTTCCTAGCTGTGAACTGGAAGCCACGTAAAACAAACAGTGGTGGGCAGAGGCCAATGATAGCAGCAGCAGTCAGTTGTTTGGCCTTTTCTTTGGTGCCTATACCACCAGCATTGGCTTCACATCCCTCACCTAGTGTGTGCATTTCCAAGCAGTCAGCCCTGTTCATTGCAAGAGGCAATGTGATGGCTCAAGTAGTACATCGCATACCATGTCACTAATAACAACCTACTCACTTAGTGCTGGCCACCTCTAGTAACAATTACCAAGACATTCTTGCTACTGAGCTGATGAGTCATGCTGCGAAGGGCATCCTTCCAAGACCGTGGGAACCTGCCTGCACAGTGAATGAGAATGAAGCTCCCAATTACACCTCTACTTGTAGGCAATTGTGGTAAAGCCTCTGCTATCCAGCTGCTAACTCTAAATGGACACATAAGTTAATAGGGACCCCAACTCCACCGGGAGAAGTAGAGAACATTTCAATTTGAGAAGATGTAGTTGTCCATACTTTGTAATAGAACAATACATCTTTTAAAAATAAAACAACAGAATAATGATTTATTGTGATTCTCTTGGTAATGAGTTTTAGTGGTCACTTATGTAATTTTTTTCTTAGTTGACAATAGGGAGCACAATCTATTTCACTATTGTGATGTACATTTAACACATGACTCTTTAAAAAATGTTTACCAGGAAGCAATGCTCCGAGTCTTAAAACAAATTCCCATAAATATGGAAATTCAACCACTATCATTTTCCAGATCTTATTTGAATTTTGTAAAATGTTGTAACTACTCTTGCTTCATCACGACCAAAACCTAAAACACTTGACAAAGAATGTAGAACACTAAATCACCAACATTTATCCTCTCTAGTTCAAAATTCTTTTGCAAGAAAATGATTAAAACAATAAGGTTTGCCATTGAAATGCACACTTTCCATTTATTTTGTCACCAATTCTTCCACTCCTTGTCACTCGATGGCCAGTGATTGTAAGCCATCAAGAAGCACATGCAAGTAATGCCATCAACTTGGAATCCTTCTCGTTACATCCTCCCAAAGTTTTTTCAAGCACATGGAGAGCATCTTGACAAGGTATGAATCTAAATGTCCTATCCAAGTCTGTCTCTATTTGAAAATCCTTCTTAGAAACACTTTTGACATGACTTGAACATTTTGGATGTGCACAATGTCCTCCTGTCTTAAGAAGCCAAGACAGGATTTTATGCAATGCAACATGCTCAAGGTACTTTGCTTTTGTCATCCAAGCTTTCTTTTCTCCCAAGGTTTAAAATTCTACTCTCTGCTAGGAAGTTTTCCTGACCCCTCCAAGATTCTAATCATGAGACTCAAGTTTCTAATCAACCATTTCCAGAGCATCTTCTCACAGCTATACAGAGCCTCTGCCCTCAGCTATACAGATATTTCCAGAGCCTTTTTGGTTCTTTTTTTTCTTTCTATTCTTGTTTTCATCTCTCATTTTCCAGGCATCTTCATCAATTTGCCTAAAACTCAACGATGATCTTGATCTTGCCGCAAGCAACACTAGTGGGAATGTCACTGCTGGTGGACAACAGCAGCACTGACACGACCTAGAGCGTAGCAATCTCATTCTTTTCATCACTTTCAGAGAGAAGCATAGAGACATCCAACAAGAATGCCAAACCTGGAGTGCCTCTATTTCATTCTACCATGAACTATCATGCTGCATAAGCTCCTTGCCATTAAAGCAATTCACAAAAGCTAAGGGTTTCTTTATATTCGACCAGTCATAGCTGTACATGCTATTTCGTCTTAGCGTGATGCTAGAGCCACCTCAAGCTCCTGTTTAAGGTCCAGCAACTTTGGTGTGTTGTAGCTGCCATTCTCCTGGAAAGAAGTAAAATAACATTATCAAACAGGGAAGAGACGCACAAAAACATGATACCATAGGCTGATGATCTAATGATTCCTTCAAAATTATTGAGCTCTCGGGCACATTTGCAGATTCTCCAACCTCTATAAAATGGCTTCCACCAACACTCAGAGCAGGAGACACCTCTGATTGGCTTTTGCATGTCTTCAGTACATGCATCTGACAGCTTCCACCTCAATACAAGTCACAGTCTCAAAAAAAACCAAGGCTATTAATGTTTCTTCTCCATTCAAACACATGAAGACGAGACTCAATCTCTAGGCAGGACAGAAAATGACAAATGGAATCAGAGTAAGGCCAGGAAGGATAATCAAAATAGCATACCTCACATGCAATATACGTCTGTGCTGGCTTATATTGCCTCCCATGTCATTGTTTCCAGATCACAGATGTTGAGGTCATTGAGTAGACACCTATTGGAGTCTTCTCCACCAAACATGACTCCACTAAACAGGATCCGATCAGCGAAACAGACTGGCCCCTCAAACAGCAAATGGTCAATCTCAGGTTCGTGATACAGTATGTCACATGCACCGGAGCTTGTCCATATGTTGGAAAAAGCAACCAAGTGAAAGTCTGTATATCAAAAACATGAACTGGAGATAGAGAGCACTGAAGTGAGACACTGAAATGCATTATATTAACCTGAGACAGAGTCAAGGGTTTCTCAAGTGGCCACCAACAAGTAGCATCTGTTCTTCAGAATCTGAAAACACTCCGGAATATTGTAAGATGAAAGTAAAAAGCTAAAAAAATTACCAGGCTATGACCAGCACAAGGTGGGATCAGTGGCATGGACAAGGACAAAAGGAGACATTGGGAGCTTTTGCTCAACTTTGGACCAGGTGAGTGTTCTTAGATTGAGCACCTATGGCAAAGGTGCAACATCAGTTATTAAAGAGCAAAACACTACATACCTGGACATTGTTCCACCATTTGCTGATGGCAGCAAGGGGGATGGAGGAGAGTTGTTTACAGCAGGGATGTACTTCTCCTGAAGGCTTGGATTTAAATCATTGTCTTGCATAGGCTGAAAGAAAGCTGCAAAGTTTTAGTTCTAACACAAAAACGAAAAAATATAAAGCCATTTCACCAATTTTCTCAGCTTTTCTCTCTAGCGACTTGACTACCAGTCTGGATCTTTTTCCTGCAAAGATAAATAGATGGAAACTCTCAAAAAACATTGAAAATCTTACTTTCAAGGTTCTAAAGAAGAGCGGCATAGCTTCAGTCAATGGCCCACTTCTCCACTGTGAGCGCAAGCTGTGAGAAGCAGCAAATGGCTTGTCTCATCTGGGCACATGGTCTTCATTTCCAAAACCTTGCTCCAACTAAAAGAAAAGGAAACATTAACACACACAACACACAGAGTAGCTCACAATCTGCCCTATCACCCTAAAAAGTTTCACTTGATTTGGAGTGTCACTAAAATCACATTGAAGCATTGCCACCCCTTTGGCACTTGATCTATGCCATCTATTTGAAGTTTTTGAATTTGAACCGTTAGATTCACCGGATATTCCAATAGCACATTTAAATAAGGGAGTATGATAAATATAAGATTAATCTAAATGAATAATAACTGTTAGATGGTAAAATATCCTTGAATATCCAAGAATATTCTAAGTATACTCACTACCACCCCATTCCTTTGCTTAAGCAAACTAATAATTACTAAAATTAATTATTATTATAACTATTAAAGATTAACTTTATTAAAGAAAGATGGTCTTGCACATCCCATCAGTGGTCACCTGTTGTGGTACTAGCCAAGAATTTATTATTATAATTCATGGTCAAGTTCTTTTCAATTTGAGCATGACCAGGTTATAACATCATTGCTGAATTCAGCTAACTCACCAAGGGTGTTAAAGTTCCTGTGGCACAGCACCGAAACGATGAACGTTGCTTGGAGGGAATGTCAAGCTACTCTTTCAAGCCTCACATATATCGTGTGCTACACTCTCCACACAAAAGGTGACGAAGATCGATTCACGATCACAGCGAGCGCCCAGATTTCGTTCTTCTGCTAGCTTCATCGAATCTTTGTGACTTTCTTTAGTCGTTATGACGCAAAGTTTTAAAATTCCTATATTATAAAAAAAAAAAAGAGCAATGAATGTTTTTCACATTGTCGTGTAAACATTATGATTTAAACAAGTCGAGATCAACACGTACTGGTCTTTAATCCTTCGACGAGACACTTCTATAAAGGATTAACGTCCCTGAAACTTCCAGTATCTTTTTTTACGTAGATGTCACTAAGCAAGGTCTTTTATTCGGGTTAATCCTCTATTTGACCAAACAAAAAGACTCCGGGTTCGATTCCTGGCATCCCCAATCTAAAATTTTTGATCGTTTTCTTAACTTTTATTTTTCCTCGCCAAGCCAATCGAAAGTAAGCCCGCATTCTTCCACTTCTTGTCAAGCAGCTGGCTTTGAACCATTTTCGCCGCTTCCTCCAGCTCGGCGCTTCAGTCAATAGACAAACTCCATACTTTTGCTTAGCACGGACAAGCCTGGGATGGCTGCACGCCGTGAGCACACAAAGAAGTGCCATTCGTCTTGCATCTCATTGAAGAGCTTAAAACCATTCGTGTGTCCCCATCGCGGATCATGGCCGTCTAGGCAACTGCGTCTGGAGTCACCTTACAGAATCTTGTTCACCCTCACTAATACTCTTGCCTGAAACTTGTAGCCTTGTATCATCCTCATGAATTGGACTCCATAGTTGGGAGCGTTCGCAGGAAGCAGCAAATAGTTCGGCCTCAGCCTGTGCACAGCGTACATGAAGTAACCTTGGAGCTTGTATGTCCTCGAGTCCACACCTGAAGATATCTGCGTCAATTCCCTTCAGAGGCTCCAAAGCTCCCACGCTGCTGCTAGCCTTGGGCTGGGCTCGCATTCGATGGAACAGGAGAAAGTCAAACTCGTGGAACCTTGACACTTGCAACTGTAAAGCCTGGCTTGTTTTGTTTCTCTGCAAGTAAAGCACTGAGTTCGTACTGGAAGAACTATAAATCGTATGGTATCCAGATTTCTCCATCGTCGTTGGCACTCTTAGGTGGCGAAGTTCACTTATTCTCTGGCCCTGGGCTGGTTCCGGTCGAGAACTTCTGCGTCCAAGTCGGGAGAAAATCCTTTGAGACCTGTTTGTTTGATCGCAGTTAGCCACGCAATTCCTTCATGAGAAAATCTCTTCACACCTGTTTCTTCTCCGTAGGTACCGAAAGTGATAAAATCCTCCCGTAATAACCTTCTTTGGATCTTGTCTTGTCAATCGCTTCTACAAGGCATTTAGAAAGTTAACACGGGGGACTCAAAGTGTCACGTACCAGATAGTTAACTTCTTCGGCGCATCCTTGCGGCTTCTTCCAGCATCCCAGCCTCAGCATAAAGATTGGCCATGAGCACGTAAGCCGGGGCATTTTGATTGTCGAGCTCCATGATGGACGCGAAAGCAAGCCTCCCGAGCGCCACGTTCTTCCACTTCCAGCAAGCTCCCAGCACTGCCTTCCATATCACAACATCCGGCTTGCAGCTCATCCCTTTCACCAATTTCACTGCCTCGTCGAGTTGATTCGCGCGGCCGAGAAGCTCCACCATGCAAGTGTAGTGTTGAATCGTGGGAGCAATCCCATGCTTGCGGGGCATTGCTCTGAATTCGTCCTTCGCTCTGTCGACCAGGCCGGCGTGGCTACAGGCAGTGAGGACGGAGAGGAGCGTAACACCGTCTGGCTTCACACCGCCAACTTTCTCCATTCTCTCGAAGAGGTCCAGCACCCGAGTTGCGTCGCCTCGGCAGCTATAGCCTGCGATCAATGAGCTCCATGTCACTAAATCTTTCTTCGAAATGGAACTAAATACCTCCTCGGCCTCGGCCATGCTCCCACACTTCGCGAAGAAACTAACGAGCGCGTTTGCGACGATGGGATCTCTCTCTAGTCCAAAACTGCGAGCTTCCATCTGGATTTGCCTCCCGAATTCCAGTGCCACCAAGCTGGAGCAAGCTTTTAAAACGGCCACGAAACTACCGGCATCTGGAGCACAGCCTGAGGCGTGACGCATCTGTCTGTAGAGTTCCAAAGACACGGCGCCTTCCCCACACTCCGCATACCCGATGATGATACAGTTCCATGAGACGGTGTTCTTATGTGGAAGGCTTTCGAAGAGATTGCGAGCAAGTATGATGCGACCGCACTTCGCGTAGAGATCGATTAGAGAGTTTGCTACTGCAAGGTCCAGCGTTCCAGCTTGAGAATGGATGCGTGCTCCTGTTTCGAGACACTTGAGCCTGAACTTTACGAGCCTTTCTTTCTCAGCAGTTCCCAGTGCTTCTTCTGATGCCCCTGCCGCCGTCAAGGTAGAGCAAGCTTTCAAAGTTGCCAGTAAAGTCACACGATCCGCCACACACCCTGTTGATTGCATGCGCTTGTAAAACTCGAGAGCTTGCTCGGACTCCCCGTTGTGGACATATCCCAGGATCATGCACTTCCACGAGATTGAGCTGTGACGACACATAGCTTGAAACACAGTATAAGCGTCTTCCATGCTCCCACACTTTGCGTAGAAGTCGAGTAGAGAGTTTGCCACGAAGTGATCCGACTGGTTTCCACTTGCCACGGCCTTGGAATGAATAGCCCTCCCCTGCTCCAGCCACTTTTGTCTCGAGGGACCATCTTTCTCTCCTTCGGCCAAGCTAGCACAAGCCTTGAGCGCAGCGAGGAGAGTCACACGATCTGGAGCGCAGCCTTCGTCTTGCATTCGCGAGTAAAGCTCGAGAGCAAACTCCGCTTCCCCAGCCTGTGCATAACCCGAAATTATCGAAGTCCATGAAATCACGTCCCGCTGCCTCATGCTCTCGAACACCTTTTGTGCATCTTCCATGCTCCCACACTTGGAGTACATATCCACCAGCGAGTTTGCCACAGCAAGGTCCCGGACAAATCCTGCTCTGGCGACTCGAGAATGAAGAGCTCTTCCCTGTTCCAGCGATTTGATCTTCACTGCTCTTCCTAGTATCACGCGAACTTCTTCCTTCTCTGCGCAGCTAGAGCATGCCTTCACTGCTGCGATGACCGTGACACGATCCGGCTCACAGCCTTCTTCTTGCATGCGCAAGAAGAACTTGAGAGCCAGAGCGCCATCTCCACACCTTGCATATCCGGAGATCATGGAAGTCCACGAAACGACGTCCCGATGCTTCATCTCAGAGAAAGCTTGCAACGCGTCCTCCATGCTTCCACACTTTGCGTACATATCCAGCACAGAGTTCGCCACCACGCTGTTTGAAGAACAGTAATTCGTTCGCTCGGCAACGTAGCTATGGACTCGCTTACCTGTTTGGAGGTCTCGCGAGTTTCTACACGCTGTCAATGCCGCAAGCACGACACCAACGCCCGGAATCGCTCCCGCCTGCTGCAACGCGTCGTAGATCGACGGAATTCCAGCATTAGAGCCGCTCTTGTTCTTGGGAGTTCTCCACCTGCGAAAGAAACGCGATTGAAACCCTGAAACTGGAGCGAGAATTCTTACCTCGATGATCCAGCGCCGGCGCCAGTGGCAGCGCCATGGCCAGGAGATTGCCGGTGCCCGCCGCGATCTCCAGGAGCTCCAGCCACCGCGATCGAATGAATCGCCCGCATTCTCGATTAGACCTAAGAGTAAGAGCATTTCAAATAAGCCCGCTCTTTTTATTCCAAGCTAAGCTACTGTGGCTCTTGCAAACGCGCCCACTCCAAAGCATCGATGCTTTGCAAAAGCCCTCAGTAACCACTACGAACGGATTGGAAGCAATCGAGGACGCATCCAGTAGAGCATTCGCAAAGAAAAATTCATTCTCAAGACCATATAGGCTCAACAGGAAGTTCCTGCTTGACAAGCTTGAGAGCTTGAGGTAGAAGCCATGGTGGCAAGCAAAGACTAAGAACAAGTAACAACTGGCATATATCCAATTCTCTATGCAATGCAAGTGTCTTGTGATTCTGAGCTCTTCCTTGATAAAAGGAATATATGTATATGTTATTTTAAAACCTAGTTAGGGTTTGCTTTGATGGAGAGATTGGAAGAGTTGGGCTATAGATTAGATGAAGAAAGCTTAGAACTGCGACATATAGCGACTGGTGCTGGTTTTCAGTTTGTAAGCCAATCTCATTATGAGTGTGTAGGCGATGCTCTGGAGATTATTGTGCATCAGCTTATGGAAACGGTACTAGTTAAGTAAAAAAAAATCGTGCTAACTGTTTTATTTCTAGAAGTATGGTATGGAGAGAGTGGAGCTACCCTCACAAAAGGTTTTAGTGGTTAGATTCAATTTGAGATTTTAAAACCTTATGTGCTTTTTCAGTGTTTTGTTTTCTTATCTAAGAATGCTGTTAAAGCTAATGAGCTTGTTATTCTTGGCTGTGGAGCTGGAAAAGTAGCGTAAGTTTTCTAACTCAATTAATTTTAGTACAGGGATTTAATTTCTGGTTTTGTTTTTATCAGTGCAGGGCAATGGGCTCGGAAGCTATGTATTAATGTAAGTTCTTTATAAGTTTCCAATTTGAGACTGAATTTAAATTTTGGTACAGGGTTCACTAAAGATTGGGAGTGTTTTGCCATTTCTTGGTAAATTTTAAGAAAATTAGTATTTTAGTCAGATATAACTTTATATTTTATTAGAGTGGGCACACAAGAGGAACATTGCAATATTAGTTTTGAATCCAAATCATGCCTCTCTAAAAACGGTAATGCAATTTTAAGTTTTCTTATTCTACCTTTACTTATTAATGTTTTTATTATAGGAGTCATACTTTAAGAATCGGAGAGAACATATTATATCTGTATGGGATAATATATGTCAAAAACTTCCAGCTAAACAACTTGCTATTATTGCACATTCATGTGGTGGATATGATGCTTATGAGCTTCTAAAATATCGAGGTTTTAATTATTTACTTGAGATATTTTATATTTATTATAAACTTTACAGAGTTAGAGGTGCTACAACGTCTCAAATGCATTGCTTTCACTGATGCTGGACAAAGCTCATATGTGAAGGTAAGACATATGTTCTTTTTTCTTTTTTATATATTATTTTATTTTTACAGAATCTTTCTTGTACTTCTCGGATGTTTGTGGTACAAAATTGTAAAGAATGGGTTTCAAGCTCCGTGCCTTTGGGAACGATCATGACAACATCAAGCTCAGAGAAGAAGGAAATAACATCAAGAAAGGGATATTGGTGTTTTAGTCGCTCCAACACTAAATTACCTCCAACTAAGACAGATATTGGTTGTGTGGAGATTTCAGCAGGAACTGCATCTCATGCTGAAACAACCATGAAGGCTTTTGAAGAGATTTGTAGGTTTATTTTGATGAAGTTTTCTGAAATTAAATGAATGTCTAGGATCTGCCTTAGACACATCCCATCAAAAGTCTAGCAATCAAGTAGAGCATTCTAAATTGATGCATTTATTTGTAGAAATGTTGGCTGAATCAGTCTTAAAATTGTTAAGCTTGAACTTTGGCAAACCACTTCGCTGCTTCAGAAAGGCCTTCATCCTTGGTCCATCGCTTCCACACTTTGCTTACTAAGACAAGAGCTTTCTTGGTTGGATCTCTGGAACTTCACCTTGGTTCCATGCCATTCAGAAAAAGCTCGCACCTTGATAAGTCAAAGTTAATGCAGTGTCCTGGACATTTCTTTTTAAGTCTTTGGGGATTAAACCGCAGGCTCCTTGAATGAAAGCCACTCCTTTTCTACACCAAAGGAAACGTTTTAAAGGCAAGAGAAGCCACAAAACATGAACTGGTAAAGTCTGCTTGCAAGCATCAAGGCATGGAGAGCCTGCAAATCCACGCTCGGGATCTTCAAAACAGAGGCAGGGAATAGATTTGCTCCGTGCTCCACAAAATGGTGGAGTTGCAACCGGTGGGCACTATAAAGGATTTGAGCAAAGTAACAATAGTTGGTGGCAGTAGTGTTGTTTGTGGATATATGGTACATGGCAAGCGCCATCGCAAAATCAATGTTGCAGAAGAAAGGAATAAAGCTCCAGTAACGAATCGTTTATGTGGCTATCCCTTGGCGAACGATCCACATGCGAGAGGCTTTGACCACGTGAAGAATTGTGGGAGCATAACCTAAATACCACATTAAACATGGAGGAGAAACACAAGGATAGACTTAAAATATACTAGTCTCAAGAGTGGACTGTGAAAGTGCATAGAATCTTGAGGTAAGAACATTCTTGTAAAAAGGAAAGCATTTCTTTCTTTTATGTTTTCTAGATCCGATCACAAGATTTACTGTTACATCAACTGCAAATCTCAGCCAGAACAACATTACATGGAGCAAATCTTACAATACTTCGTTGGCTGGTCCAAAAGGTACAACCTTACTTTGAAGAGCTCGTGTGCAAACACTTCTATCCCGTTCTGGGCCGTCATTGCATCCAGAGGTACACTATAAGTCCTTTGAGGTCTTAATTAAACCACTTTTAGCCTGTTGTGCAGAAAAATTGTCAGGCAGCTCTTGTCAGTGAAAGCCAATCTGAAAAGGTAAAAGATAAAAGAAAGAGAACCAACTTACTTCTCTTCTTGTTGTTTCCAGGCATCTATAGCACTAAGCTGGACAGACAGAAAACCGAGCCGAAAGTGGAGCAGTAGCTTCATGAAATGGCACCCAGAGATCAGTAGCAAGCTTGGGGAGGCCTTGGAGCTCCAACATGCAAAGTTCCTAAGCAAAGAAGTTGCATCACGATTCTATGAGAATCTTGATGCATCTTATGTTGCAAGCAAATCACATTTGGAATGCTGACAAAAGTAGTGTCTGAGCCAATTGTTGTAGAGGTGTCAAAGTTTTGGACACCCCAAGTGTCAGATTCAGCTCCTGAATTGTCCCAAACAACACTGAGCAGATGACTATTCTTGTGGCAGTGAATGCTGCTACCTGGATCCTATATCTTCCAAGGCAAGTGGAGGATGCAAAATTGGATTGCAGATTGCAAAGTAAGAGTTACACTCGCCATCAGTGAGAAAGTTTGAATGATATAAAATCTATTGGCTTGAACACTTTATGAAATCAATCCCTAATGGATGTTCGCCTACAACTACCACACTCGCATTGTTGATGGCCACAGGTCTTATGTGACCAAACTTGTCCTGGAAACAGCAAGACTATTAGGCATGGACGTGATATTACTACCCATCTCCCCACATGCAACCTTTGGCATCGATCATTTCCTTTGCTTTTACCGGCATTTTCCTGGAATACAGTAAACTCTCTTGACGGACAAGATAGAGCTTTGATTTGTCAATGGCGAATAAGCGTACATGGGCAATTGGATTTGTTGGTCATAGTGTGTTCCCTCAACTTGTTCTTCATAGTTGAATTATACATTCAAAATTGCCGAGAGGAAACTTACGATCACAGAGAGGAGCTAGCTTTCTAGTTACGGTGGCAGCTGCCGCCATCCTAGCGCCATCCTCGAGGTGCAATTCCTCCCACGGCCACTCTCATGGCCAGCATCAGCACAAACATGGCAAGCACCGAAAACAACACCAAGCAAGCCTTGGTTCTCCATGATTTGCTGCTAAAACTAAGAGTTCAACGAGTATATTCGAGAGAAGTGTGAGGCCGCTCGTCTTTATAGCTGGAGTCAGCATACAATGCTGTAACGTCTCTTAGGGCGGCATCACTTTGTCCTTTGAAAGTTAGTCGAGGAAATCGTTCCGTGTTTGTCAATTCCTTTTCCTTTTTATAATGCTGGGACATAGAACAACATGAATCCATATGAGTAAAGGCACAGTTTATATAATATATATTATTGAACTCATGCATCACCACGCGCCATTGCTATAGACTTCACTGCCACTGAAAAGGACAAACATCCAAATAAATTGCTGGATCTTCACGATCTTTAGAAGTGTTTCATTTCACTTTCGATCGAGAGAGGGGACGTGGTTGGTGTATGTAATTGCTAGACTTTGTCTTGGGAAAGCGATCAGATTCGTTGAAAATTTTGTCTCCACTACTGCATCTTATTTCCTTCTTGTTGCTTTTCCAAGTTCCACGTCGAGACTAAGATGGCAACATTTCATTGACAAAAACATATATTAGTTTATTTAATATTATATAATAATAAAATTTAGTCCAAAAGCTTGAAAATTTCAAACTGCGCTCCCGTGGTTCTTCGAGGCGCCAGGCTAGCGAACTTTGGCGATTCTTCAGTAGCGGCTGCCATTCGAGCGCCACCCTCGCTGGCATCGATGGCAACTGGTCATACCCGTACCAATTGCATAGCACGCAGCGAAATCCATTGGCAGCGCTGCGCCATCGCCTTGGTGAGCTACGTGTGCCTGGGCCTGGTTGTGACGCTCCAATCGAGTCGAGCAATCGATCAATCCAGCGATGCATTGATTGGAAGTCGAGGGATTTGGAGAAGAGAGGAGGAGCAAGAGACATTCAGACTTTTTATATCAAGCTGGACAATTTATTTATTATTGCTGGAACTCATCACGATCAGAAAACACGTTATCAGTGCTCTTTATTCTTTCTTGGCACTGCAGAATGATGAAATCAAAGGCAATTACGATGTTGATTCTTAACATGGGCTTACCCCGTGAAACGGGAGGCTTCAGTTGCGCCAGCAGCGATTGT